TGTTGATTGGCTGTTCGCTGAATACCCACTTCGGGTCTAGTAAGCTTTGCTGGCCCACTGTGGAACAAGGCGTCTTTATTGAACTCAACTGAAATATTGCTAATTTTGTACTTTGAGTTCGGTTCATGACAAAGGTACACCCCCACGCAGTAGTTTGGACCATTTAATTATTGGTTAAACGGGGGCCACTGCAATAAATATTGCCTACAACACGATTATATAGTTACAATACGACTAAAGAAAAAAAGTGGTCAAATTGTGCTAGTTCTGACTCGTGCCGATGGCCTTATGTCAGTGGTGAGCTGGAGGCCTGTTACCTCGATTTATAAATCAAACCAGCTAATTATGTCAAGATTTTTAATGTCATTTGGTTGACCTCGCAGCCTTTCTTTCTTCCAACGATCGAAACGTTTCGTCGACCACAACGACACTTGCCATCGCATTACCGGTTCTTTATACACCTGTACTGTTAGCCGTAATATTTAAGAAGATGGCGAAGTTTACTTCGATAACGACAATATATTCTAAGGCTTCCTCGGGGCCGTATTTAACCGTATTGGATAGTACTCACAAAAAAGTTGTGCTGTCTAGCACCATAATGTTATATCAACTGGCAGATGGAGAAAGGAAAACTTTTGGAGAATGTTTCGATCGTTAGCGAACTTGACAGAAGGAAATAGGAATGCTCAACGAGATGTATAAATTTTCGTAACTATCATAAATTTTTACCACTTTTTTTTGACATCAACAAACATAACTCGACGTTCACTTGCGATGCGCATGTTTTATTGTTATTTCCTTGTATCATTAATTCAGGAGGAATCGAATTTAACCAAAAAATCGAATCTTCGTTTCGTGATGTAGCCTGTGGTGTTTTTTTCCTAGGATATATCAACTCTACTGAAGAATCCTGCGTCACCTTCGGTCCTTAAAACACACACCCGTATCGTTTGCGTGTGTGTACATGTTTGGTCAGTAACCACCCGACGCGTAACTCTTTTTCTTTGTTTTTAGAGAGCCTTTGAGAACTTTGATCGTGCCCCCCTCCCCCTCCCCCTCCCCCCGCTAATTATCAATGATGTCGCCATGTAATGATTTTGCTTAACGATTCATTTTTTAAGCGCAATGAGTAACACCCAGTTTACTAAACTCAAAACTAATTTTATTTTCTAAAAGCCTGACCTTTGACTTTTATTTTGTTCTGTTCTACTGTGTCTTGAAGTACTTTTTGAAATCCGTCGGGGCAGTATCGGAACTGGCCCTAATCGTGACATTTTTGTCTGACGCAAACAAATAATCAGCGTTTCTGACCCACTCACCGTCCAAATGATAGGCAATTATTATCGCATAAGCTCAACAACAAAATAATCATACAGAATTTTTATCAGTGAATTGCCCTTTAAAATGGTGTTTGCGTGTATTTGGGCTGTGGAAATGCGAGTTAAACATACGACTAAAGTTTTTATACAAAAGTTGCTAAGTGACAAAAATTGTCATCTGCTGTATAGTCAACACCAGATCCCCACGTCACGCGTAGTTGTAGATTACTTCAGTTCAGACCCCGCACTCATGGGTTTCCGTATACTATTCGCATTGAAGTGGCCTGCCGGTAAACTTCTGTTCAGACTAGGGATAAAAAAAATATCGACTAGGACCATAAGCAGGGACGCGGATTACTGGCTATTGAACATTTGCTTGAGTGCATTATCGAATTGGTTTAAATCAATTTCCATATCATAAGGGTCACAATAGGTTTGTTGTTTAGTTAACTCGTATACTCGCATACTCGTACCTTCAGCCAGATCTCGAGCTATAGCCTATCTCAGGTTACCTTACGTGAGGGTTAACGAGCATCAACAGGCGCGCACGTTGGTATGATAATTTGGTTACTTGTTAAGCTGCTCACCGTAGTGCAGATCTCTGCAGCAGTTAAAGCTTCCCAGCCGTATCGGTTAATAAACCTAAATAGACTATACAGTAAATGATATTTTTAGTTTCTTCGTTCATGTTTTTTAACACTGAAGTCTCACTTGCTACTTCTCGAGTTTTAAGTTATTTTTTCCGCCTTCTATTTGTACATCAAACGTCACGGTGAAGTGTCAGTATAGAGAGGTGTTTGGCTGTCCCATATCGACTGTTAATATAGCAGAATTGTTTAGGTATCGCACAGTAGATAGTACGACAAACACCGATTCTACATCCGTTACCTCGTAATTCCAGACCAAGTCTGATAGTACTTGACAATCGTTTTTATTACGATCTTGCACGGATTCATTGTATGATCTACGGGAAGTGTAATAAATAGATTAGGGGTCGTGTGCTATCGCTTCTATGATCAACATAGGACTTCAGTTTTGCACACAAGATATTATTTTGTGTGTTTGATACTTTAGACGTAAGCACGGTGCCTGCTGGCTATCCTAACCTATTCTCCCTAATTCCTAGGTAATCGTATCGATACGCAGACATTTTTGCCTTTGACATGCCCGTATAGCTCCAGTTGTAGGGGTTTACTATTATTGGCAGTTAATGACTAATAGAGAAGTTCTAACTAAACGGAACTACCGAAACATCGTTACGTAATAGGGCCGGTAAAGTGGAAAGGGTCCTCAAAAAAGTTCCAAGTACTGCCTTGTTTCTAATGCCGTATTTGACTGCGTGACAAATGCCTTCACGAGTGATTTATTTATTGAGAACCTTTATCTTGACAGCCTGTCACACAAATGTGATATATTTGGATGAGTCGACTTAACGAAGTCGATGAGCCTCGATGTATGGAAGCACCAAACGCCTCTGGACAAAAGGAATTCGTTATAATAAGCAAATATTATATATGAATTATTATTATTATTATTAGCAAGAACTCTGAACAAGGGCTTGCATTGTATTCTATTATAGATTTCGGTCACTGCCCGGTGGAATTTGAAAGTGCCTATTTTAAAGAAGGAAGATTTTGCAAACTATTTTATATTGGGGAAAGCATTTAATATAAAAAATCTTTGCTATCTATTCTCGGTCACACAAATATATATATGTATATATATATGACAGTCCGAACAACCGATAAATATGATACTAAATTATATGTATGTGTCCAAAAATTCGCGCGACGATATTTTAAAGAGGTGAAGTGAGTATTTTTCAACTTGTTTGAGTATCCACCGACGCCGTCTCTACAGCTTGCTTAACGCCAAATGATTAGAGGCATATTTTTGGACAATATTTTTTATGAAGTCAGCTTTTCCTTTTTACTGAGTGTGTCCATCTAGGTAACTCGATGATACATGTTCTTGATGGTTATGTGTGCGATAAGGGCTGTTTACACCTGATAGAGCGACCAGATGTACGTACCTTGAAGACGATGCGATTCTATGGAAAGAAATCTGTATACAATCGACCTTTCAACAAATATCGACACTCTTCGCTTTCTGTCCGGTTATTTCGCTTTCGTCAGCTAAATGGTCCGACTTGAGGCTTAAAAACGACCGAAGACAGTCCTGTGACGATCTACGCTGATGTCACCGTACGTGCGACAATTGTCAGAAAGTGCGGATCACCAAAAGCAACAGGGCGGGGAGAGAATAATTTGCTGACTCTTGATAACTATCGATGAACTCATATTCGCAACGACGACAGGCTTTAAAAACGGAGACAAATTAAGACGTTTGTCGCTTTGCTTACGGCTGTAGCTATTTCACTTAGGCTGATGGAGACCAAACAAAAGCCGGTAAAAATTAACTGCTAACACGATTTGAGAAACTTGATGTCCGCTCACAGCGCAAACACTTGCTTACGTAACTTAATGTAGAAACACAAAGGCCCAAAATAAAAAAACTTATTCAACCAAGCTTTCACACGTTTCATGGTACAGTACCATCGCATTCAGTCGTAGATGCTCCCATGACTATTGACAACGGATCACATTCAGTACATAATGATCCATAAGGAACGACGAAAAAAATGGTATGGAAATGTGTAATAAAATATACATCTTTACTTTAAACCAATAAACCTATTGATTCGATTTAAAAAATAATTCTCCGAAAAGAAGTCTACTTTTTAAATTGTGTAGCCCAAACACCTCATAACACACGTAACGGATGAAACAGTATAATAGATTATCACCATGAAACAATTCATAGTAATTATGACAATAATAAAAAAAGAAACCGAAAACGAACCGTACTTACCTAATCTGCACCATTATCACAGTGAATGTCCAGTTCTAAATATTGCCATAGCCTGACGCCTGTGGGAAAAGTGTTATTTTTAATAAAAATTGACTGACACTCATACTGAGATTCGAAGGCCCTGATATCGTAAAATTCCTACCTCATATAAAGGCCTGCGTTGAATCGAAAGTTCCTCTCGTACAGGTGTCAGCTAGCTACTATTAATTAAGCAGTGATTTTTGTGTCGACTTGAGAAAGGAAATGATAATAAACCTTAGTCAATCGTTTGGGTAGATGACAGAAACAATATCGGTACTATTGCTCCTACTAGAAGATGGCTACTAGGCATTTGTCAGACACCAGTACGAGAAGGGCAAACGCTGTCATATATTGTATATGAAAGGAAAGCTGAGATTTTGCTGGATACGGCCGATAAAATGGGTCGTATTTTTCTGCGCAATAGAAAACAGAGGCACCTTACTTAGTTCACATTTTAACGTAATTTTGAAAAGGACAACCTTTCAAGAATATTCAATTAGTTGCACCACAATAATCTGCATTGCGTTTTTAGGCTCGTACATACCTTACTTAGATATGCGTACATACGAGAGTCAAGCTGTGCATATATTAGACGGAAAAGTTAAGGAAAACTTATTTATTTGCATGACCCAGCGGTGTCGAAGCCTCTCAACTTTTTCTCGATATGGAACAAATAATTTTATCGATTTTCTTAAAAATTTGTATCATTCAATGCTCTTAAAGTATCTGAGTTAAATCTGTTCTGTATATGTGATTGCTAACCTGTACGTTATACTCCTCTCTTTTCAGGTGTGAGGTACTTCTCCACGATGGAGAGCTATCGTCATACGAAACGATGCCGTATTGTTTTCGTAGCTGGTTCGAGCTTCATGCTATCACCACCCGCAATGACTTGTTGACGCGAAGTCAGACCTCTGTGCTTGCACTATACTCTAACTCAAACGTTCAGTCAGATTGCTGTTATCAGCTGAGCCAATATAAGTGCCTTTGCCAAAATCTTCCGTTCTATAGCGCAGGGTGAGTGCCCACCATATCAGCCTGTTTGTATCCTCCTGCAGCCTGCACTACAGGTGGATTGCTCATTCTAAGACTATTTAGTTTAGACTTTAATAAGAGTTTTAGAATAAGAAGATTCTTCTTCTTTACAGATAATAAAGCGATTAGTCTATTCGCCTTAGATTGGAGTCAACAATGCTACATAATACTGATCTAGGAACTTTCGGTGTCGAAGAACAGCATCATCTAGCTATTTTTACTAAACGTTAAGTGTTTGAAACCGCTTATTATGTTCCCATCCTTCTGCTCCTAGCCCGGATGCGCCTGCTGACATTTGTGATAACGGTGTGCCTATCGCTTCAGGATCCCATCCATAGTCATGCAATGGATAGCGTGATCCTCTGCATCGTGAGCCGCCTGTCATTCAGCTGGGAACTAGCGAGCCAGTCAGCTCTTTAAGACGCTTCCTCGATCTTCCAATTCATTCACGTTGCCAAACTGTAAGCTTATACAAAAAGGTTATAATAACTATTTTATATTTTGTAAACAAAGAACTAAACTTCCGAAAGATGTGTTTTTTTTTATCTAAATGATATGATGTATTTTTCTTTCAGTCCATGAATAGTCGTATCTAACCTCTCCATTCAGATTTCTCTTTCTTCCGGCACTAATAGGGCGTGTACTCGGCATTTGTCATATTTGTACTTCTGATCATTGTCGCTTTCATTCGTCTTAGTCATGCCTAAATGTATAACAGCATCTGCTTCCAAACGAATCCGGCGGACGTTACAATTGGAGAACTTGAACTACGATCGCCTAACTGACAAAATTTCTGTGGTAAACACTCCGGTTCTTCTGCTACACCGTTTCGGGTGAAAGCGGCTTGAGCCCGTCTGAGAAATGATGAGTTTATTTTTTCTAGTCTTGAAAATGGCCGCTCAGTAGCCGCCAAGGGTCCACTCCATTGAAGCTGCAGACTTGCAGAAATTCATGAAGGACGGGTGGAGACATTAGGCAAGGGGGTCCTAAGCGGAACCACAGTATGTCAATGGCGCGATCATTACTACAGGCCAACTAGTTATAATGTGCGCCGGATTTGCATGTAACATCCTGGTATTATATACCTGTATTCCACAATGTATTTGACACCCACCAGGATAAATCGAAGCAGAAGATCACTTCAGTCACTTTTAATCGACCTGATCTGATCTGATCTGATCTGATTGAGCCACGTTGCGCTAATTTGATCAGTCAAATATTTGTGGTCATTTTTCGATTTGCTTTTTAGGCTTAGAACGTTCGCAAGCTAACTGCCAAGCCGTCCTTTCTCCACTATAAGATTATATATTCTACACACTATAAGACAAATCATTAACAAGTCACGTATATGTTACATGAATTTCTGTTTCTCTCTTCAGCTTGTCCGACATGTGCTGACAAGGTTATTAACAGCGCCATCTTTCAACGATTCAAGAGAATGGCCGAAGAAATCTTCTAAGCTTTTTCCGACGTGAAAGCCGCTCTAAACCGTCAAGAAAAGATCAACGTCATCATCCACCCACAAGCGGCAGCAAGATTATCTGTCAAGTCTACCCAATACCTATTAAATCATTTACCATTGTACATCATGTAAACGAATACACAGCATCTATTATTCATCTACACGCACCACATCGCGACCTGCTTCGAATTAAGTGCCAACTTAACTTGTAGCTGGTAACTTAAGGAAGCTTGAAAATCAACAATAACAGCAACAACTGAGTGTGTCAACTGCTTCAGTCACTAGATTAACTTCATTGTCATCCCGACCGGTTATCCGAAATAGAAGCTATTTATGCCATGGACTGTTATAAATATTATATATTGTTCTTGAATTAAAGAGAAATCAAAGATAAAAAAGAAATCATTAAAGTAGCGGAAAAACATCGCATAGAACATGCCGCTGATTGGAAGCTGCGACAATATCCCGTTGAGCTGACGAGTCCTCAAGATTTCCACTGAAGTAATTATTCGAACTAGCTTTGCGTACGGACCATTCAACTAACAACAAATAGCCATGGGCTCATTTTTTAAAATGAATGGTTCTCATGCAGGACCTTCACCTAGTTCAGGACCGCCTTCTATGATACCGCAACATTCATCTATAGGTGACAGAGGCTTCTACAGGAAGGACAGGTACATTTCGAAGAAGCATTATACGCGATACATACGTATAAAAGAGAAATTCGTCATATTAGGCACAACAGAAGACTATAGTACTGTTGTCATAAAACTTTGCTTAATTATGGGTAATCTATAAAAACGAATTTATGCAAAAACTATTGAAATAAGTGTAAGTGTTGACATAGGAATTGAATTAGGTTTTTGAATTACACACTTGCAGAGGTAGCTTTGAAAATTTGCTTTTTAGCTTTACTTTGTCAATCTGTTATTAGGCCGCTTTCTAAAAAAAAAAAACGAGAAAAACTATAAGCCACGCAGTGGGAATACTACTGGTGAAAACCTGCTCTCTTGAACACGAACCATGCATGTAAATCGTATAATGCAGAAGATACTGTATTGCTAGGACTCAAAAACACCGTTTGATAAGTTAGTTGCTTAATTCAATTAAATGATCCCATCTAAAAAATCAACAGTAAACTTAGGAATAACAGGTTTCTGGGACCTCCCTAAAGCGAGAGAATAGACCCAAGCCTACTCATATCATAGTTCTTTCCAAGGGTACATATGAGTATATTTAGAGAAAATTCAGATGTTCAGATAAGATTATGAACAGAATTTTCGTAAATTAGGTCATCAGGTACATTTACTTCTCGGGTATCTAAATGACGTAATGCAAGGCTACTTTGCAGAACCTCAGTGAACCTTGATCAATTCAAGAGAGAACCATACACCGAACTCATTGAAATCTCGTGGGCTGTTCTTCATGCGATCAGATTTGTCTCTGTAACAAAAGTATCTGTATCAAAAGTAACGATAATGACCGTATCTTGATTGGATCTGGTAGCCATCCGAATTGTATTTTTCAACACTTAAAACATTTATAATTCCGCATTATACTCTAATTTGTGCAAATTGGTTTTACAATTTATCAAAACATTTAAACCAATGTATTCAAGTGCAGTTATAAGTATTAAAGAAACCTATAATTTTAAAGGGGTTTTTGATAACAACAAAAAAACGGGCTATTTCTAAAATTTTTATTTAAATCGTATATAGTTTTGATAAAAGCAAAAAATACTAAGAAACCATTATTTATGTAAAAAATAATGAATTAGTTTCTATCGAGTTAGAACTATTACCAAATCTAGGTTGCGTTTTTTAATTTTAGTTTTTAGGCCTAGCAGTATTGTCATTGTAACAGCTGCATGTGCTGAAATCGACTTCGGCCCTTTTCTAAGAAAAATGTGAATTCCGACCTTGTGTCCAAAATTTTTCAATATAGACTTCGACATATGAACCCATGTGGCAAGCAAATTATAACCCTATATTTCGTGATTCGTAGACAATAATGGAAAAAGAAGAACTTGAAATTGCACGAAGCTAGTTCGGTGAAGTTCGGACGATGAAGTGCACTATGAGAAATTCGAAAACAAACGGTTTCATATAAAAGAGCCTAAGGCTCCGTTGCATTTTTAGTGCACGGAGAGCAATCTTCTGGTCGGCCTCGTACGGCTTACGTGTCCTACTGAGTCAGCCAGTGTACCTTGGGCCTAAGCCTTGCTAACCAAACAGATATCATTTGATAGATATCGGGCTCACAAAAGAGAAAGAGCGCTATTGACTCGAAATACGCGCGCCAATATTTAAAATACAATGATAGATGTTTGGTGATGACAGATTTGCCATCTTTTCTTTTTGAACTAAACTTCATGTCTGACGGAATTTTATTTTCAGAGACGACTTCTGGGAGGCTCTATCTAGCCATTATGATTATCTCATGGATGATCAATTAGTTACCACCTGCAGGGTTCGTATGACTTAAACCTTGTTTCTAGGTATGCCAAGGATTGCATATAAACATTTGAGGGATCTGGGTATCAGCCAGGTATGTATCAAATGCAGAGATATGGCCTATTTGTTTGAAAACGTACTTCCCATTTGATTTATGCATGGATATGCTTGCTATGCTGAATCTTTGTTACTGAGGTCGTCGTATTCTTGTTTAAGTTATTATAAATAAAAATCATAATCGCTATAAGATCATAATAATCACCAGATCTTTGATATGCTTTCGATTTCTGCCACGATACATTAATAGTTTAAAAAATTAGATAAAATAACAGAAAATCGTTTAAAGAGTAATGTAGGCACATCGATTTCAATAAAGTGATTAGGAAAAAGGCTGCGGTGATATATATAAATGTAAGCCTTATAATCTTATTTTTGTATCGTTATCACTGGTTCAGTTTTGTCTTTATCGGAGCCCATTGTAACTTGTTTAACGATTCTGCACCAGGCCATTTTGTTGATCACGCACTCTTGTCTCGTAGCATGAAAAATAGTCTTTATTACGATTCGTTTTCTAGTAATTGATCTTCTTTATTTACATACGACCGTGAACAATAGCCCGTGCCTAACAAATTGGTAAAAAGTATTAAGCATGTAGCACCTTCTGCAGGCTCTCAATTTCTAGCACACAACTCACCGCGTTACGGTGAACTGCAATAGCGATCGAAATAAAAAAAGAAAAAGGACAGCGTACATTAACAATGACAAACTGTAGGCAGCTTGCGCATTGTATCTTCACTTTATTAAATAGTGTATACAGAATTATCAGTCTAACATTAATGTGTAATTGGTTGCCATGCGGACTGTGTTCTTTTCCTTTCCCAAGGAATAGTTCTTTGTAGACCTTGAGAGATCTCTTTTGTCGCTACTACTGCCACGATTACACTAAATCTGTCGTCCTCTATTTTGCTTAAGATCTACCTGGCCGCGACTTTTAGGCAACATTGTGCTCTAATCTTCTAACCGTCTTTATTTTCCCTACAGTCGTCTGTTGACCCCCGATTAAAATGGTTTCCTGTTCGGTCACCAGAGGGCGCCATAATTCGCGCTTGTTAGCGCACCTTTTGTCATTTGTTCATTTTCTGTTTACATCGGCAATTTCTGCGTCAGGCATTTCATGTCGGCTCAGCGCGGCTAACGCAGATCAGCCGCTTAATGCAAAAACACTGTGTATCCGATCAACAGCCGAATAGGAACGGACCGACGCTGCTCGCTGCAGGCGAACACGCCGCTGGTTCCGATTGTCCCTCTGCTGCTGGTCTTCTCAAGCGACGATTCCGGCTATGGCTGCGGGAAGCAGTGGTTGTAATGGTAGCAACGGTTGCGCGCCGATTGTACTGTACTATCCGCTGCTGTCGTCGCAGCAAAAGCGGTAGGAACGACAAGCGGCTTTAGGAAGGCAACTTTGTTACGGTCTTTTTTGCGTCGTGAGCAACTGTCGTATGCACATAGACACACAGACATGGCCGTATAGACGGCAGCGGCAACGCTGAGTAAAGTAGCAGTAGCAGATTTAGCCGCTGATTGGCACAGACCTTTATTGGCCGTTACCATCGCAGCTGCTGGCACTGGTGCTCTCTGTTACGCGAACCGCCTTCAGTGGTCGGCCAAGCAGCTTCCGCGCCGGCCGCTACTGCAGCAGGTAAACTACAGGTAGCCAGCCAAAGGGACGACGAAGACGACGGCAAATGGCGACTCTTGTTGACGGCGATGATTGAACTACAGCAGAAGCTGCCGGTGGGGGCAGCAACAGCTCGCACAGCGGCCGGAGCTCTGCCTGAGCAGCCGAATCCTGCCGCCAAATCACTCCTGATCCTGCTACCTTGAATGCAGTAGAGACAGGCAGATTCAAAGATACGTCCGCATAATGTGATTGAATCAACTTATTTTGCAACATGCTGGCTAGTTTCGCAAAACATTAGATTTAACTAACTGAACCCTTCTGTTCACTGTGCAGTTGTTGCACAATGTGCTTATCAACGTGTGCATGTTTACTTGTGCTTGATGTGTGTGGGTGACACAAGTGTGCAACAACTGTGTAATAAACGTTCTGTGACATGATTGGATAATCAATTTTCTAGCACGGAGACAACTAGCCTCTTATACGGCTGGTGATGGCTTCGTCAGAGATCAAACGAGACTCGTGTGTGGTGTGTAGCTAAGAATTACAAGGGGTAACTGTTAAGGACATACAGAAGCTCCAACGTGCCGCTGACAAAGGTTAAGGATTAGGTGTTCATAATAATGCCTGACAGAGCTACTCGAATGTATAGCCCCTAGAGACAAATAGAGGCTGAAGAGAAAGTTTCGGGGAAAATATTTTCAGATTTTTCAATTTCTGTGTGTAAAAGTTGAAAAACATACACCTTTATTAAACAATTTTTAAGCATCGTCGACTCGTTGTGCAGAAACATTCTTGTAGATTAGTTTCCTCTGAAACATCCGAATCAGCTATTGGTTTTGGGTGCTCCAGAGACGTTGTGTCATGGACCGACTATAAGCTAATGTCCCGTTGATGTAAATGTCGACTTCTATTTTTTTTAAGGCTATCAGTGTGCCGTTGATAAGTGCTGCTTTGCTTATCGATTTTCCGTGTGTGAATTTGTTTTTGCAGTTGAACATGTTCACAGGTTTCTGAATACCTGATGTCAGTTTACGTGAAACTCTTGTGTACTTCGTCAAAACTCATGAAGGTGTTTCCTCATTGATAATGTACGACAAATACGTAAGATCGCTATATCCGCGCCTGTTATTGTAGACATTAAAAAAATACTCCTTTCCCAAACAATGTGAGTTGTGCAAATATCATGGTCAGCTATGACAATATCTCGGATCACGAAAAATTGTGTTGAATTATTTGACGTCTCCTGACACCATTATATTTAGTGATTCCGACAAAAGCTTAGAAGTACAGATAGATTTACTTTCAATCGTTGTCTTTTGTTTGCTGTGGTTAACATAATCAACAAGCAGACTGCCGCGCTGGTTCAAATCTCAAAGTTGGTAAAGATTATTATCAGATATTCATAAACATAGGAATGAAGAAAAAGTTGATCTTCCAATTAGCTATATTTTTCCAGTTATTACATTTTACTAATTGTAGCAAAATATTTCTCGCCCTGGAAGATATTTTCCGGCGTTTCGTTTTACTGGCGTAATTTGTCTGCAAGCGTTTTGCGAAAAGTACGTTTCGAAAAAACAACGACAGCGAAAGCAAAAAAAAACAATTCATGTTATAAATATTGGTACAGCTGTTTAGCCAGCGAGAAAATTGTGTTTTCCAAGTCTCTAGCCTCTCCCAATACGACCCACTTTTAACAAGCAGAGTTGTATAATTATTTGTTTGGACATCGTCCGGTCTTTCCGCTGTAGTTTCGACCGTCCAGATGATTAAGTAAATTAAACACTTTTGGAGTTGAATTTTATAAACATGCTGTGACCCTATTCGGCCTTATTGGTTTAAGGCCGATTGAATTGTGAAGTTCTAGTAGAGGTATCCAAATTGCACATTGTCAAAGAAGCGCCTGCATGCTAAGATCACTTGTGCCGTTTGAGGAGACAGGCTGTTACGCTTTTCAGAACCCGACATAGCTCCTGATCAATATATCTCCGATAGGGGTTTTTCGCATAAATGAAACATACACACTTTCTAGAAATAATCTTCGAAGAAACGCGAAAGTTCATAACGGTTTTGAAACGATGATTTGTTGTAGTTTGAGCGTTATATCCATTATAGCTATCAAGGTCAATATGTCGATTTTCAAATGTTTATATACGCTCCTTTAAGCTCCTACTGTCTGCCAGAAACTAAGGGTAGAACAATTACTAGCCAGCAAAAGCGTATAAATTGCGTCGCCTGGAAGCATACCCACTCAGATGTCTAAAACTACTCGTGCGCATCTTGTAAAAATAGCCAACTCATAACGCATATTAGAGACCCACAATTTAAGAAGTAAGGTTTATCGCGATTTGGTATTTGTCAAGTTCACCTAATCGAGCGACTGGCTAACGTATCGGTACTAATGAGACTAGAGCTGAGATTCACAGGTTAATCCTGAGAAAAATATAATGCGGTATATCAGCACGTGATCAGAACTCTTAAGGAACTTGAGGATGATGTCAGCGACGTCCGATAAATTGTTGTTTTCAGACTTCGTTGAAATAGCCAGAGGTTCTACGATATAATCGTGACGTTCTACTCTACACCATACATGTATTATAGTTAAACTTGGAGTTGTTTTTTTGTAAAATCGTTGCACACCTTGAAAGTGTCGTAGTCCACGTACAATTTGATTGTTACTGTAAAACGTTTTTTGGAAAATTTCTAGAAGGAAGTATTCATAATCATCGCGACAACTACATTTCTATTATCTGAAAGAATAGGAGAACTAGAACGGGACCTTTCCTGTATATCGTATTTGTCTAACAGTCAGTAAAACGATTGATGGGCTGCCTTCTTCACGACGAGTCTGCATTCATCCACCTTTTTACAAACGACAGGTCATTTCATAACGCGAGACAATTCTATTTTTTAAAATTAAGTACTACCACGATTTACCTTAGATTGTAATCTATTGTTAAATTTAGTCTTTTTCTTAAAGCTGTTCCTAGAAGGTTCGATGCAAAAGAGATTCTTGCAGTTTTGTCACACATGGAATATTAGTTCCGGAAAAAAAAGCCGTACTTCGAATATTAGTTTTCGTGAACTAAGCGTATTTGTTACGCGCACTCGCACGCCATGTTTACATTTTAATATTACTCATAATTGCGCGTATTGTTATTTGAGAGAAGCATTTTAACTTTAAGAAAAGCTAGACTTGACGTTGAAGGAAATCAGCGATAGATTTCCCGAAATGCTATTATTATATTTACCATACTTCTATTACCAATCGGTTTTAAAACATTAGGATCCATTGTAGCATTCATTACAACAGCATCCCGAAGCCAGATGCGTCAGCCATCGACCGCCGAACGATCTATTCGCAGCTGAAGGCACATCTCTCTGCGTCACAACTTCCACAACAATGATGCAGTAGCTTATACCCAACGTTTCCTTAAAAAAAGACATTCTGTTTAGTAAATTCATTTGCCCCTATGTGAGTCACGAGGGTATTGGTTCGCTTGAGCCATGGAACCGGTGGGGTCGGCCGCGGACGGACGTACCCTTATATGTCGTGGGCTCAATATTAGGCCCCTGTCGCAATCAACTGGGATTGACTGTATGTAACAAAATCGACATAGTCAAGGCGCTTAAGCCTATCGACTAAATCAATCGCTAGCAAAATATAAGTGCAGAAACTTCCGTCAGCTGCGGGTCAGTATGTTCCGGTGGGCTTTAGCTGTCTACAAATCATCTGCATGTGTCGACATTTAAAAGATTTAGAGATAGAAAGTGTATTTGTGGATCATATGCATTTCGTTTCTAAACAGAGGTTACTTTTTGATTCAATTATTTTAACAACCATGTCGCCTTGAAAGGTTAAGACAGACACGAATGCGCATTCGTAGTGATCCCAATAACGCAAAAAAGGGTAAACTGTTATATTCCAAAAGGTATTAAGCATTGGCTTTATGTTGCGTTTATTGTAGAATGAATAGCAGCTTATAGAGCGATAATTACATGGATAATGTGTGGGTGAATTCATATATGCTGAAGATTTTATGTTTTTGCAGGAGCTGGAAGCCGACTTTTCGCAGCATTCCCTGTGTCCCGATGAAGGAATGTCGTCGTTGGGCTCGTCTCTGCCATCACTTCCCCTTGCGGGCTGTCCACCGTCGCTTTCAGCGCTACCCCCTTTTGTTCAAGGTGGCAGCCTTGTGGGCCTCACTCCTCGGCAGCTCCTGAGTCGACTGGCTGAACTTCGCGATTGGCTTCAGGAAATGGATACAAGACTCGAAATCGAAGACGATCCTGATCGGAAGAAACACATCATAAAGGTGAGATTTATTTCTATGTTCATAGTTCATATTGAGAATGATTGCAATGGCTACAACTAATAGAAAAGGGTTCCGTCCTGAACAGGTAGTCCTGGCGCATAGGTCCTTGGTTTTTAAAACACCATTAATATCTCGTTAAGTTGCTCCAGGTCATGCGTGTACCATTTTTATTATATTCAATTCAAGTGAAAATTAGTTACTTTTTTGCCGTAGATCAATTCTTTGCAAAGCAGCCGGTATCATGGCTGCTATTAGAATACGGGCCCGACCGTTGCTGATGGCCCTGTGACGGGACAAGAAGTTCAAACTGTAGTAAAGCGAACGTTTCTATCAATAAATTTGAATCAATGAATTTATAAAATTTGATGGTCCTGGAAGCAACACAGAAACGAATTCTATTTTCTTTCACCCCGTTTTGACGTTCGAGTCAAATTATATACATACAATTTTCATCAGAACCATATGTGTATGGAAACATTCTGTTACTGTAGAGGTACTGTGAAACATGTCACTAGGTTTTAGCGGAACCACCGATGCCGCCAGTTTGCAGGCCTAGAAGGGAGACTGGCAAAATGTTGGTTGGCCTATTCAAGAGCCTGTTTTAACATGCAAAGCTAAGTTTTAGCTTAAAGCTTTAAGCCGTTCATAAACAAGGCCAATCGACTTTTGACGAATACTGTTGTTTTTTTTTTTTGGCTAACTTACGAACTTCGAAAAATATGCGTAGTTAGGAGAAAAATTACGAAGGATCAGCTAGAAGAATTGACGTATTGCAAATACGACATTGCAATAGCGATACCGATCGAATACCCAGAGAACGAAAAATGCCAACACCGAATTAACGAGATCGCGGCTAAGTTTCGCCAAATTGACATCGCCACTAAGCAGTGCCAGTTTCCGTTACCCTTGTTTCGGTTCGAAGAATATAAATAAACATGAGAAAAGTTTTTTTCCACGATTTCTAGGCAATCCATTGTGTGAATTGTCTAGTGTGTGATCGTATCTGGTATTCGTACAGCGTTCCATTACTCGTAAAGCGGTCGATTTCGTGCATGAAATCGTGCACGTATAGTTGCTTCGTTAGTTGCTACTTCGTTAGTCGCTAATAAAGCCGACGGCTGAGCAGGTCAATGCGTTATACATATATATCTGCTCTAGGAAAATTCGATTATCGCCGCTAAAAAGACAAATTTTTGTCAACTCTATTCAATAACAGCTCTTTTGATGCTTCTGCTTAATTGATGCGCTATTCCCACTAGCTATTACTAGCACTTACTGCATGGTATTCGGCCGTACACACAAAAGCTCTTAGCGAAAACTCTAAATAGCTTCAAGTAAGTACGCGGACAAGCTTTAAGTTTAAAACTTACTACGTTCATTTATTATTAGGACTTAGTTTTTTTCTGTCCGGAAAAAAACTGGAATCTGTACCTTATTGTACATACAGTGATCGTGGGAGTTTTACTTTCATCTCTATAGTATATTCTGCACGTGGTTAACAGACGCTACCGTCACTGAAACTCGTATCCAGATTTATATTGCAATTAGTAATGTTCTTGTTCTGGGTATTATTAACGTGCTGAACCATTATTAGTTCAGTCTGGAATAGACGGGAATCTACAAAATGCATTGTCTTCGTCCCGCAAAAGTTTCGCCTGCCTGATCCGTATGCCAACGACAGTGATATAGTGCTAAAGGCCTACTTGGTCGTACTGTATTTGCTATTATACGCTTTAAATACTGAAAATCTTATTTGTCGAACCTGCTATGATGTCGACGTTGAAGTTGTGCTTTTTGCGGGCAGTACTTCAGCCTTCTCAAGTTTTTCTGGCGCTAAAACTACTGCTATCGTCAAGAACAATAGTAACAGGAAAAATGCCAAAGACTGGAGTAGTAATATTGCGCAGATAAAAACACTCGACCACCAAAGCCAAGATCGCTCAGCAGGGACTCTTGCGTCGATGGTTCAAAGCAGCCCTGCTAAACCCCATTACCATAAGCGTGTAAATGGCTCTGCTGCATTTGTTATTAATTGATATATCCGCATTTACGACTCCTGATACATTCTAACGCAAGCATCAAAATCTACAATTCGACCGCAATGGGCTGCAGCAACGTTCTTCGACGGTAGGCAACCTGTATTGCCGTCGGAACACCAACGTCAAGCAAGAGTAGATTAAAACGAATCATCAAGACAAGAGCGCTGTTTCGTCGGAATGCTTGTTTCACCTCAGTCTGTGCCTAGTTTCTGCTTGAAGTAGACTCAATGAAGCCGATGGTGGACTTTGCGATCGTTTCCGCGGTGTAGCTTTATGGGATTTTCACATTCGCACTGCTTCTGGTGGTTCCTCGCGCTGCCACGCTCACTTACCCAGCCACTGTCTATCATGGCTATGTTATTAGGGATATATATCTCGTCTGCGTCTCGGGTATAGTTGGACCAATTGTGTAGTAGTGTGGGGGGCGGAGGACGCGACAATTCGCGTTCGGTAAATAAGAAAAGCGCATATTCTAATAACTATATCGATGGGAACGAAAAATAGAGAAAAGAAATTGATGATGATTGTAGATACGGGCATTGTCAACTGAGTGGAAATTTTCGGGATTACAGGAGAAAATATAGGCCAATAGATAGGAAAAATAGGACAATAGGAGAAAAATAGGACAATAGAGGGTTTCATTAGGTTGACTTGTTGATGGTTCTCATTCACGAGGCACGCTAGACCATGGGATCTTTGTGGTTGCTTAAGACGTCTGTGGCTGTATGCATATACCATGGGGTGTTAGAACTCTAGACCACTGTAAAAGATGCGGAGGATGAGAAAATTAGATTAAAAAAAGTTCATTTTTCATATGTGCCGATGGGTGTCGATTTAACCGAAACATCGGGGAGTTCAGATTGGGGCAGTTTAATAAGGGAGAAGCGTTCAATCTATGTTTATCCTTTATTAAGCCGCAGATGGTAATTTTATACGACCAAGAACTGTACATAATAATATACGCAGAATTGCAGTCTACCTACATATTACCTGTAGGCGCAATTTGCAAAGCTTGTAAAATACCTGGAGAAACGGCGAAAGGTATACTTGGTTGGGACACAATCGGCGAAACCAAGAACAGATTGTTTCGTCCGTGTTGCCGATTCGCATTGAGAAACAGAAAGTATACGCGAGACAGAACATTGTTTCGGTATTGTATTTGATTATATATTTATATAGAAATTGCTTGCACAAAAATCACTTAAGAAGGATATGCGTAATCAGTAATTATATATTAGAAATTGTATAATAGAAGAGAGCAATTCTCAATGGCGGACTTCGCGTTTTTTACGGCTAAACAATGCTGTGTATTTCTTAAGCTAATTTAGTTTTCGCACTAAAATGAGGAAAAAAATTGAAAGAGAAAATATTTTCTGTTTCAAACGGATCTTCACCGCTTCGCCTATAGCCGACTATCGGCTTTTGCTCTTCAGTCAATCGCCTAGAGGCTTGACAATGTACTATACACGGACTAGTAAACATGTCTGTATATAGTGCGGATATGTATCCTTCGCTGCAGTAGATTTCTGTCATTCCCCTATACGTTCACAAACACGAACATGGTATGTTTTTAAACTTTTGCAGACCCACTCGCATGAGCAACGAATGAAAATACTACTTATACAGCATATGAAAAGATCATAATAGCATGCCGTACCTACAAGTAGTTCGACCAATATTGATATGTATGACGCGACCCACAAAATGCGCATTTTCAAGCATTGTCTTGTGTTCCACCTTTCCAAAAAAGAAAAAAACAGAATGATATAAGCCGACATGTTTTAAAACTGTAACTTCTTTCGTTGTTGGCGGCCCCCATCCACTTGGCCAATGAACATATAGTTAAACAAGAGCTAAAAATCGAGGGTCTACTACCTGCAGCAGCGGTGGGTAACCTTGAACTAGTACGGTATGCAACGTTGGCGAGGCGTCTTAGCGGTGGAATTGGCGCCGGATTGGAAGAAAAAACGTACGGGCAATCGACCCGTGTCGCTAGTGAGACGTCAAACAGTCGTTAACGAACACTTCTGTTATATTTGTGGGTGACGATAAATGACAGCAGCGATGCTAATGGTGCTAGTAGCGTCGATACGATTTTCAGCAGAAAGGAAAAAAACAAGAACAGAAGAGAACTCCTTTTAAAGAACTAAAGGAAGAACGGATAAATAACTGGTAATGATGATCGCTGCATAACCCGGCCAAGATAACCTGTAATCAATATCCTACGCTTTTCTATACACCTGTATGAAGTGTCTCTGTCTATCCGTGGATTGCCATTGCTCGTTGCGATGTTCCTCCTTTCTATTTTTGCAAAGCTAATGTTGTGAATAGATGTCGTCTATGGCCGACGAACTTCGATCGTGCCCTGTTGCAAGATATTATTAGTTTTACTTTATTTTATACAGGAAGATGGGTAGCGAATTAACGTTTCACACGAGTACACACAGGTAACGGATCAACGACGCTACGCTGTGATGGACAGTGAATCATGGGAGAGCCAGGAGCGAATATATTAGAAAAATTTATGAAATGTCAATGAATGGAAGCTTCTGTAGAGATTTTTTTTCGACTAACTCGTAAAATGTATTAGCTATAATTATTTAGCGTTAGGACATAGTTTAATGGCTATTTCTATGAATATCCCTAATATATAAAAACCTTGCAAAAAAAGGTTTCGCTGGAATGTGAATTTCACGAAAAATCCCGCATATGAGATAAGACTTTATACAGTTTCTATCGTTAACTTGAACTGATAAGGCCTAAAACGTAGTTTTTTAAACTAGTTTGGAGTTGAGCACCTTTATGCGGTTTGGAATTTTTTTTTCTGACACTGCAAATAGCTAAGGGATATTAAATATAACATACTTGCTTTGAAGGGGCTTGCGAAACGTGGGATGAGGGGGATTATCCAATACCAAAATAAAAAAGATACAATAAGAATATATAGTTGATTTTAAACGGCAACAAGAATCTGTTATGTAAGGTCAGTGCGCCTCAACTTAAATAATGAACCAGTAAAAGCCAGACATTTTTACCAGACAGAAGCTTGTAAATAGAAGAATTTTAGAATAGTTTTGACTAAGGCCCGCCAGGACTTTCGTATCGGTGTACCCCACTAATTGATCAAACATTAAGAACCTGCTTTTTGAAATTTTTTGATAATATTGATCATGGCAAATAGATTTGTGTTGCTTACGAATGTTCGAATAGTAATGGACGAGAACATATAGTATAAAGAGAAATAAGCCCAGAACGGCCTTTTGCCCAATACGCTTTGTATAAGAAGCGCGGCCGTAACCACCCCTCGTGAAGTTTGCTTAGAGAAATACATCTATTAGCTAACTGCTGGCAGCAAAAGACCGTAGTCTCATCTGTGTTAGGTGATTTGAACGAAAGTCTTCTTAATAGGTAAGCAGCCGCTGTCTAAATTAACCAATAGTGACAAAAAAACACGATTCTCAAGGCTTAGACTTCAAGGATCGCCGTCACTGCATTATGGATCACTTTTGCTATATGCCTTTTTCAACGTTGACTGGTACAATTAACGATGGAAATGTATGCGATATAGTACATATCGCTTAATTATCCGCTTTTCCATAAACGTTTTTTTGTTTGTATATCAGCGTGGTGGTACTGGACAATTTGGTTAAATGTGGGTTCAAAATGCATTATTTTTTACTGTGGGCAAAATTGTGCTGACAATATCTAGAGTTTTAATTTCCTGGAGGATAACGGTAATTTTAGGACGTCGACGAATACGTACTGAAATAATATAATTTTTTTTTTGCGTAAAGATGAGGGGTTCGTTGTTTGTTCATCTATACAAAGCAGCTACAGTGTAAATTTGTAATGGGCTTTTTTTAAGAAGCAGTTAATACATCCGTAAAGTGTCATTCAAATTTACGACGATCTGTTGCTGTACGTCCCACGTACCCGTTGATTTATATATATATATATATATATATATATATATACCCCATATATTGAAAGCAGAATACAATATGTACTATATAATTCTATGATTTAATTTGATAATTCGGCCGACGAACACGACAACCTAATTGTAAATGGTGCTGATAATTACTATACGTAATTACTGTATTTAGTAAAATAATAAACGTCTAGAAAATTACTGCTGCTAGGCACTTCAATATGTCCGGCCCAGAGATATGATAGCCTGCCTATCTTTGGGTTATAATGTTGTCACGTTGTTAGAACAGCGAAGACCGCGATTTAATTTAGGATGGACATTTCTTCATAGATACAATTCATTAAATACCCTCACCATGGCAGTAGATTTGACTAATCTTATGGTAAATTGTGTCCCATTAAACCAAATCGTCGTACACGCAGGACCACTTGAAGCTTTACATGGCCTAAACATAGCGTAACTTCTTGCCGTTCAAAACATACATATGTCCATTCAGTAGCAGAAAATACTGGATAATGGAAAATCGCCAAGCAGAATTGATTGATCGATTGGTCACGAAACCCTTAAGCTCGTACGTTGATATATTATAGCTTAAATTCCACAAGAATGGCTGATTTCACGAAAATTTTTTCTATCAATCCTCATATCATTCCGATTTTTGCTTAAATTAAACCATTATTGATGAAGCCGGAAAAATACACAATTCCATTCGTTTCCTTTAATTTTTTTACAATGTCTGTTTGTATCAAAGGAGCACTTTTTTCTAATGAAAATCAGTCAAGCGAAATCGCTCTTAACGTATGAGATTGGTCTAAATCACATGCGGCTAAATAAGTGATCGATGATGCCTGCGTCGTGGTCAAAGATGTATTTTTTGGCTTTCGACGATGCTCCTATCTGATCCGTGCTCACTGAATGATGAACCTTATTTCTGCACTCCACCGGAAATGACCAGCCTCCGTAACTTGATGACTTGCGTTGTTGGTACTAATGGCCACCCGTAGAACCAGGCTGAATAAGATCGTCTCAATTTGAAAAGCAGAGCCTGTGATTTCCGAATACCCAATACATCAGGCAAACTTTCCAGATGTTTAAAGTAAACAGTTTCCAACTGAGTATGATCTGTCCTGATCCACAGTTTTATCTATTAAACACTAAACCTTAAAGTTTTTTTTTTATACTTATTAGTTGATATTAAAGAAATTTCTTGTTCGCTGTCTTAGCATGTACTTCATCATAATTCATACTACCGCGTCATAAGCAGCAGTAAGATCTTCATTCATCTATACTAATCCGTCCCTACATTTATTTTGATTTATATTGAATGATGTTACAATGGTTTGCGATTATTGTGACATGCATCTTTCAGTGGTCCTACCAGGAGTTGTCAACTTATGGTGACTGTAAGGATCGTCTTCTTCGTGAAGCTCATATGATGACTTCGACATCAGCACTCATCGGTGGCGAACTCAGGGCTGAGGTGCGACTCACTTACTGAAGATATTCACATATACGCACGATAAATTTTTTTGCTTATTTACTAAAAATAGTGCCGTTAATTTTACTAGTTCTTCTCGGTCGGTTATCGTTGACAGAGACATTATCATTATACATTATAACAACTGAGATATTTTTATCTCCAGAGAACATTGTACTGTTTTGACGAATCATATCTTTCGGCATCCTGTGCCAAGAATAATTTTTGTTTTCTTTCTTAGCTCAAAATTTACAACAGTATAAATTTTGAGACAAGAAAGAAGGTTCTTTTTACATAGCACCGTTTACGTAAGAAATAGAAATATACGATAATGGAAATTAAGTAAGATGCTATTGACTCTCTTCGAAATCCTCAGATTGTATTAGTATCGTTCGTGCTGTACATAGATCTGCCGTTACTCTGGAAATTATACGTGCAGCGTTCATCAGCGTCGTTCAATGTCAATCTTTAGAATAAACATAGCATTTGTTCCTTTTATCATTAAATAATTTAGCCCAATAGTGTGTCTTCGGAGATGTTCGCTAAAGATCATATTTTTATTTTCTATTGTTCGATAGATATCTGCTAAGGCTGAGGAAGTGTCTGAAATGTGGTGTGCCAAGGAGAACGCCTGTTCCTTACCTCAGGAGAGCGTAGACAGCCTCGACAAGGACAAGCTGTTTCACGGTATGCGTGAACTTGAGTCTAATTTCTAATTAGAACTATTTAGGGCATTCGTTAAATGTTCGATTGGTTAATACCTTCCCGTAGTAAGCAGTAGCTATTCATACTAGCACAGGGATACACAAATGCGTACCTATACAAAACAAATCTCTTTTTCGCGCTATGTAGGTAACCATTGAAAGGTTCATAGAGAATTCAAGCAGATTTTGAGCGTAGAATGTACAAAGGATACGTTACTTCAGTCGTAGATAGCGCTAACTGTATAAAACGCAAATATGAAAACTTTCCTTCGACGAAATAGAGTTCGGTTACAAAGCCGGACCAATTCGTAACGGATAAAGCTGACCGTCTGTTGTTTCATAAGGTCCTATGTGTTCAAAGTTAGTACATTTCTATATTCAACAACAGACAGGATGATTAGAAATGTTTGTGATGTTGTGAAGAAAAAATTGTTATTGAAAATATTTGTGTTTCCGCTACATTACCGCTAGTTAGGCCGAAGGGGCGAGCCAAGATCCATATATTTCTAAAAAAAAAAAAAAAGTAGAAAGCAAATAGCGGCTTTCTTACAACCCGATAACCGCAAGTAAGTTAATAGTTGTAATTATTAGCGGTAAAATAATGACAAAGAAACAAACTAGTTCTTTTACCCATCGATCACTGCACTAAATGTCACGTTGGGGTTATCTATAGAAAAGTGTTTACGTCGGCAAACCAATAGAAGGTAAGCAATGGTAGGCGCATTTATGTCAGAATTTGCGCTGGAACCACACCGCCGACTAAAATTTTATGAGAATGCAAAAACTGACTAGTATTAGTCATCTACAATACATCAGATCGTTCTAGATAATGCTATATCTACTCACTCAATTTCACCTCCACTTATTGCGCATAACTTTTCTCGTTTGAAGGAATTAGAAAAATATTGTATGGTTTTGCTCATTTCGTTAAATGTGCTACAGCTTTTGGGCTCGTAGCTCCAATCACGTTTGATGGGGATGCCATTGCAAGATTTCAGGGGGCGTTTAATATCAATCACGTTCTATACGTTGTTGATCTCCCGAAACGTTTCGCTACGAAAGCGTTCCGCTATTTTTTTTGTTGTTTCCTTTCATATAAGTAAGTGACTTTTTTCAAAAATTCACCGAATGTATCTTCCGAAAATGTCTTCGACAAGGTCAAGATGGCGGGTAAACATTTCAGCATGACGTTAGTGGGGTACTGAAACGAATTCAAAACCATAGGTTGCCTGGTTCATATACAACAAGCATCGAACTGAAACGGTCCTTGCAACAGCGGGCTTTTCCTCATAACGGAGTTACGATAATGTGATTTGTTGCTAATTCTAAAGGACGTAAGGCACCGACAGTCCGATACCAATGCTTTGTTCGTTCGTAAATCTCCAACAGGTAGCATCTTTATATACCAATTGTTTGCAACGATAAACTAAAGGCAATCAAGAAATTTATTGCATAATTTCACATATTTGTCGCTGTTGTATGTTCCTCTCGCTTTTGAATTATTGTCCTTTTAGATGTTACGACAGACATGAGATGTCTCCGTCGATGGCTTCGCGACCTTGAGCTCCGTCTACCTGCGCCGAAGACTGTGCCCCCGTATTGGACTCTTCACGACCTCAAAACAAAACTGGAAAATCAAAAGGTAAGTTCATACACAAGAAAGATCAAATAAAGGAAAATAAGCACTATTTTTAGCTTGCATCATATAGGACTAAACGTATGGTTCTAAACCGCCGGTAAAGATAGTGAGCGTAAAGGACGCCGCACTGATTTGTATGAAACTAAACATCTCATACGAAATGTTTATCATTTCGATCACAAACCCTATTTATTCTTATAGACTAATATATTTATTCAATATACTCTAGTATAAGGGAATCACCTTGAAATATTAGTTTTCATTATCCTTCCAGAAAATACTGTTTGGCGTCAGTTCATAAGCTATTTACTGTATAAACTGTAAAAAAAAAACCGTTAAGAAAAATCTGATTTCCGCCGTAAGAATTCAGTTTATCATACGGCGATGTCATAATTCTGAGCATGCTATGGCCTCAGGTTTAGTGAAGGTAATGAGGTGGAACAAAGCATTAGCTATTCTCTACAGATGACAGTAGCCAACATATAATGCCGATAATGGTCGTCCAGTGATTACAGCCGGTGGGTTTAACCTTCCAGGCTATTTTTTTTGTCTATGGAATCGATTCCAGTCGTGCGGTGACGAGAACAATCGAGGTAGATAGTGTTGATGCATCGCGTAGAATGCGCTATTCATTCATTACATACCCGAAAACGACTTTATCAGAATGCTAAAAAAGATCATTTATAGATTCGGCCTTTATATTCAAGTAGAACAACATCATGTCACAACGCTAATTGTTTATGGTTCGTTTTTTGTGCATACGTACTCCTTTACTGACTCCTCAAAATAGAGATCGGCCTGAATCATGGTATATAAGGTGCCTCCTCAATAATCTATAATATTGCATAAAATTTTTATTTTTATTTTGAGCACACTAATTAATCGTTCTAAATAGTATATAACTAAAATAAAAAAAGGTCACCAAAAATAGAGGGAACGGTGCAAGCGTTCCAGCTCGTCGACGACCGTAAGCTTGACTGAGCGCTGTGAACGGTTTGAGGTATGAGACGTGCGTTTGACGAAAACGCTCTCGTGAACTTGGAACGTACTACACCGCGACGTACCAAAGCTGTCTTACAGAAATGCAGCTTCAGATGTATACGTGTTTATGACGAGTTGTTCAAGGGATCATTGATCATAATTCGATTTTTATCCAAGCGTATTTTTTTCCCGTTCGGTTATCCAGTGTGGTCCATTTTGGCTCAAGCAAACAAACCCAACGAATCATGATTCACTGCGTATCCAACAAAATTTAAACACCTATCAATGTAACCAATTCAATATTTTTTTTTTTACTATTTTAAGCTATCTAAATTTAATTTTTTAATTCTTTTAGTATGTCGCTTGCGTAACCTTTCGAAAGATTCGATGACATTATCACTGCTTTCGTAACTGCAATTCCCAGTTCGCAACAGGCACACTGAAAGGAAAGGCGTCTTATAGGGTCAATTCTGGCCGACACATTCTATTGGAAGACCAAAAATGAAAGTAACCTTTGATCTAGGCGGACATCTTTGGCACAAATGTTAGAAGTTTCATCGAATAAATAATAGTACATACCATATTAGGCGCATTATTAAAAATGTCGGCAAATGTCAATGTACACAAACCGACGACACACTGATGTCTACCGCTATACTGTCTTATAGGGTTCAACTGTTTAAAAAAATAAAGAGGCAGTTATTGAATCGTGCCTAGTCACTGTCTATACACAGGTTTACCGTATTACCGCTTCGTTATAGAGAAGCCTTGTTTGGACAATATTGTCTATCAAACACATATCTATCAGCATATGCTTGATGCATCGATACCATATCAAAACGATTGTTCCCTTTCTTACCTCGGCTGCTTGGGAAGAATTCGTTTGCTCTAGCCTATGTACATGCTTTCATTAGTAGTAGGATTTCTAGGCTTGGGCGTGCACTGCATGAACTAGGGCCATACGGAGCAGTCGCTTGTTACCTGCTGGCAAAAAAAAAGGTAGATCCGGCGATTTTAAAATTGGCGGAAGTCGGCAGGAAACGAAGATTTTTGGCCTTAAGATCCTCATGGTTGTGCTGGTTGACCTAGGGAAATATAGCCTGTAGAGGAAGGAAGTGCGTTTCGCTTTTGTTAGCTGATGACTAAGGTTCTGTTTCTCACAGAGGAGGTTGACAACCTACTGTCACGTGTTCCTGTTGCTTTTCGCTCGCTGCATATAACGAAGGTGGGGGTTTGCTTATGCTTGTTTGCCCAGGTGGTGATGCTAGTATACTGTTATTAGTAGTTCGCTTATTAGGGGTGAAGGGTAAGGCGTTTTTGGTCGATTTTGCCTTTCAGGCAAAGCTGAATCATGACTTCATCTTCTCATCATGCTATCGATGTTCCGTTGACTTCAGTTGATAAAAAACCTGGTGCGAGCCACCCGCCTGTCTGATAGAATGTCTGACGGCGGCGCTGGTCGAAAAACCTAAAATAGCTATAAAATAGTTAATTTAAACTATTTTATTTTTTATTTAATCTTTAGCTTGACTTTCCATCATACCAGCAAGATATCAATCTCATACATTTATATTATGCCTTTGGAAAATACTGCCCGAATCATAGAGGAAAATTTTGCGATACTTAACACTCCATAAATCGACTGTCCCGTATATACCGCTGATGCGGGGGTTCAAATTTATGCCTATTCGTTTAGGCGGAATTGGGGATTTGTGTTACCATTTTAAGCTGAGCTGATATAAGGCATTAGATAAACAACTGTGTCACATTTCTTTGAGTTGAATTTCAATAGTCTTAAAACTTCAAATAGTTATTTAAAGCAGAGAGATAGATTTGATTAAGCGGTGGTTATTCTCGTGCCAGTCACTCACTCATTTTACGGGTGGACTATATCATTTTGCTTTTTACCTATAAAACACTATCACCATCGAGCCAGAGTATCAAACCGGCCCCATAGCATATATTAGCGAATTAGCTAGTGTTGTCAGTAGTCCTAAATATGCGGGGATTAATATTAAGTGTGCGTGATAATTTGAGAAAATACAATGAAAATTATTTGTGCAGTTTACTGATAACGGGTACAGGTCACAATGTACCTTTCTCGTATCGCACATCGTGTCCGCATCACAATCTACCAACCCATTCTATTACGCCACATTATAGTTGCGGTTATTTATTATCGTCTCTCGTTCTTCATGATGAAGGCTTATGAAGCAACCCCGAGTTCTGCATGAGGGTGACGGGGTCTTCGGGATTGAGGTTCAAGTCGATGATTCAGCGTAAGGAGTGCATAATGTGGGCGCCTTTCGTAAGACACAACACTCCCTAACGAACCACGCAGTACGTATTGAAGAATGAAGCGAATGCGATAATAGGGAAAAAAACACATGCACAATGTGCGCAAGACCCTGAAAAGGTGGCCGGCGAGTTTACTAAACTAAAACAGTCTAAATACGATATGGAGAGTATGATTATGCACAAATATGCATTCGTCCATACGTACTAATATAAGGCCAATAGCAGTGCGTTGTCGACATTAACGGTCTCCAACCGTACCGACTACACTCGGTGGGGTTCGAGTGTTCGTCTATTTGACTGGGGCGGAGTAGCTCGTTGAGCTATTATAGATACAATGTGGGCTGGCAGACGCTCGGTGGCCTGAGAGGGTCCATGTCGTCTAAGGCTGGACAAGTTAAGTTAGAAAGACGAAAGCTTAAAGCAAAAATGGCTAAGTATCAGAATAAGGCAGGATATACATGTACTGCTCTGCTGGGGTTGTTTTCGCTGTCAACGATGTTGTTGTTTTCACAGTGTCTCTGCGGTTTAGGTTGGTTAAAGCCCGCCCCTCCCATCCTAAGACCCCACAATCTTCCCCTGGCTAATAACGGCTAAATAGGTTATGAGCATGAATATGAATAGACGGCACAACACCAGTGAGAAATGGGTTTCTACAGAAAAGCCAATAAAATGGGTTATCTTAGTGTCTAGTGGCTAGTTTCCGAGCGTGTAGAGGCTAAATGCATAATGGCATTTGACATTTTGAGCGCAGCTTGTGCTAATAGGGTGAATATAAAACGTATACGAAGCGTATAGTCGATATTCTATCTAAGCGCAATGTCATACCTAATCTTGTAGGTAAATATAATAGGTGAACAAATACAATCTAGCACTATAACGTATGGACATAAATGTTTAAAATGCCGATAGGGGCAGATCAACGGCGCCCTAGTATTCTATAACCCCATTTCTTCTAACTAATCTTCATCAACGGAAGTATAGAGCATCGTCTCCGCTATTGTCTATGTACCAAAAATACAGTGCTAAATAAATGTGTTCAGTGTGGAAATTTCCGAAGATGCATAATAATATACCTGTCTGTCGTGCACCACGTGCATTGCTCATGTTTTCTGTGATATAAGGATGAGCTTGGACTACTATCGGCTCGGGGTAGGGGGTCGAATAAGGCGCTAAATCAGAGATTTTTATAACTATTTTTTCAGATAACTATTTTTAATCAAGCATACGATGTCCTCTATTCTTAAATTTTTCCTCTGGCTCAGCTTTGACACTTTACAGTGTAAATACTCAGAAAGCTTGAGTTCGACTTCATTTTCGGTAAGAAACATTTCATAATGTTTGCAAATGCCATTATAATTCAACATAGCTACGTTCGATTGACTATAGTGAAGTCTCCTGGTGTAGGAAAGTTATGTTTCTTCTCAGCTAAAGTTATGCCCCGTCGATTCCGACATCTGGTTTGCTCGGCTTGAATGAATTCTCAGCCTCGCTACTCTATCTACTGATTGTTAAACATACGTTTCATGAAGTGAAATGACTTCTATTAGGACACAAGATGTCTATTTATCATTTATTTTACGTTAGGTTCATAAGATAATGATTTATGCGTAGTAATAAAGCATTATCGCGGCAACGGCATGTATAACATTGCAACCTTTTTAGATGAACGAAACAGGGTACTGCATTACCTTGACAATGAATATGTGAACATTGCAAGATTTGTT